AAAGCCTCAAGAATATATAGTTGCATTAGTAATTTATGCTATACCTGATTAGAGTCCGTACTGTCGAGACCGCTTGTTGGCTCGTCTAATAAAAAAACAGATGGCTGAACGAACATTTCCACGCCGATAGAAAGTCTCTTCCGTTCACCACCGCTTAATTTATTCGCTAATGTGTCCAGACACTTTGATAAGTTAAAACGTTCCGCGATATTGTTCACCTGACAGAAAAAAATGTCTAATGTGTACAATGCGTCAATCTATATAACTTTACTCGCCAAGCTAAATATTAGTAGAAATAATAATATACCAGGTGTTTCAAATAAAGCGTTACAAATTTTTATCTCGAAAACACGGCATTATTGAGAAAAATTGTTCAGACAAAAGTTGTAAGGTTTAAAAAGATATATTTACTGATCTTATCAGTTTGACTTAATAAAAAGTTATCAAAGTAAAATTGCTTATTCTTATAGGCAACAAATATGATTGAGAGATGTATTAAAAAAGTATAAATTTTGAAATAATTTCTTTAGGCATTCCGTAACTGTCCAGTAGATTTCGCATCATTATGAATACACGTTGACATTGAATAAAGTAACAAAAGTATGTAATGTGAATAATAGGAAAAATGAAAATAAATAAATGCGATAAGATATTATAAGAGGTCACTCGCGACAATATGCTTATGGACGCAGCGACGCTATAACTGAAGATTTCAAAAAGAAGACGACAGTCATTTGAGAATACACAGAGTAGAAGGCGCATCCTAACAAATCAAGTTTTGCTGTAATAACACAAATCGATTACAATAACAAATTTCTTTTGCTGTCATAATGAATTTGTATGAGCAAAATTTTGCTCCAATAGCAAAAAAATTTGCTAAGAACACATTTTTTGCTATAAACAGCAAATTAACTTAGTTTGAAAGACAAATACACGCAGTAAATTTTTTCTATCTTAGCAACAAAACAGATTCTATTCTAACAACAAATAATTTCTAAAACTGGTTGTGTTAAATAAATTTTATCGTTGCCATTACGAATATGCAGTAGCAATGACAGTTTTGCTACAACAGCAGAATCATTTATTTCCGTGTACTAATCTGAACGACTTTATAAGTAGAAACGGTTGCGACATTGCAAATAAAAATAAAATAAATGTTATTTTCTTATCAACCACTAATTGTTCGATTATAGACTAAGAAAGATACTGTCGTCTTCTTTTTGAAATCTTCAGTTATTACAGCGTCGCTGCTTCCATAAACATATTGTCGCGAATTACTGGATTTACATTGCATCCGATTTGCGTCATACGACGCTCTGCAATCAATCAAAAAACAGGATTCCGATGGATTTTGCTTCGTATCATCGGAATTCTGTTTTCTGATTGGTTGAAGAGCGTCATACGATGCAAATCGGATGCAGTGTAAATCCAGCAAGTGACCTCTTATAATATCTTATCGCATTTATTTATTTTCATTTTTTCTATTATTCACATTACATACCATTTTATTGTGTAGCAGTTTTTCGAGCGGGTATGTATATTATTTAATAATATTATTTAATAATAAATCTTATGTATATATATGTATTATTAAATAAATAATTTTATAAATATATATACATGTATATATACGAATGTGCTTGCAACTGTTCTCTCGTATTTATATTTTACTCACCATTAAACAAATTGCTTGTTTGTTCTGATTAACGTTGAGTTTTAGTCGAGCTGCTATGTAGAGAGTTTCTCTTGTTGTGAGGTACGGCAATAGATCGAATTGTTGTGGTACATAACACACCTGTTTGTGGAATATTTTTTTGTTTGGTTCAGCACCATTGACGGTGATGGTGCCTGTAATATCGACCTGTTGTTTGCCCGATATGATTTTTAGCAGGGTGGTCTTCCCCGAACCGGAAGGACCAACTATCACTGTGACTTTCCTCGGTTCGAAATGTCCCGTTACATTATGTAGAATCATTTTCTCAGTCCCTACAGTTGAACGTTCTTATTTTACTATATATATAACTAAAAATGCAATATCAGTCATGTGTTGCATTTACATACATTATATCCAAGCAGCAGTAGAATTCTGTAACTCGTTATGCAGTCGTTATGAGTTCGTAACGACAGTTGCGCAGCTTTTTTACCATATAAAATATCTGCGCGACTGTCGTTATGAGCACATAACGATCGTATAACGAGTTACAAAATTCCACTGCAGGATAATTAGATCACATTACATAACATTAAGTGAATTATAACTGATTAGAAAGTTAAAAGTTAAAAAACTTTTAATAATCATTTTGAACACTTTAACGCCATTTGATATCATCATGATTTTTTCTATTTGGATGAGATCTATGAATTTAACGGCATCGTCCGACAATCGTCCGGTGTGATTCTATTCCAGCGAGAAATGATAATTCGACGTCGAAATTATCAAATCGACGTTGAATCGAGCATGTCTCCGACTTGCCGCTCAGAGTGCGAGAAGGAGAATTCCGTCAAATTACAAATTTAAACTACTCTAATTCAGGAACGGCACCGTTAAGCCTCTCTATTTTTTTTAATAAGGTTCCTGTAATATTTCTACATTACATATTTATTTTTAAAAAAAATCTATAGAAGATTTTTGCCGCAAAGTATTAAACGTTACTTCGACAAAGCTTGGTATAGGAGTTCACGTGTTAAAAACTAAAACTTTGAAGATAAATATCTCCATTTCGGCACCTCTAGGATCTTTGAAATTTTAACCATATATAGATAAAATTATTTTAAACATATCCAAATTTAAAAAAAATCTATAAAAACTTAATTTCTCGTAAAATACCTTAATTAGAATCCGGCCGAAACCGAAAACAAATATTTGATCGTCATTCGATTTCAGTAGAAAAGAAAATCGAAACCGAAACTTGGATAAGCTATAAAAAAAAAGGAGAAGCTAACGGAGTCATACTGTTTTCAACCGGGATCGAAATCGACATTTCCCGTACGATTTTTAGAAATCATGATAAATTTATGTACGTTTTAAAAAACAAGATTTTATTAAAATATCTAACTATAATAATACAATAATATTGCATCTTTAACTTTTAAAGAAATCAAATCAAATTATTACTAGGATCACATCAAAGTTTGTACTCAAATTGTCTTATAAGCTTAATCAACGAGTTAATAATTAAAATCGAACAATTATTTTTTTAAACGCTCATTAGTGTATTGCAACTTATACGGTTTCGGTTTACCTACCGAAATGTTCTCTTAATTTTGGCCGAAACCAAAATCAAACTGAAACCCTGATTTTTGACCGAAACTGACAGAAATCGAAACCGGAACCGAAATTTCTGGTCGGACTCTATAATTAATTACGACAAATAGACGATACCTTTGCTACCTGAGGTCCTATCCAACCGAGCGATCTGTCAAGACATTGTCCTGCACTGTGCACACATTTGTCGTACGATAAAAACGCATCAATGAAATAACATCCTGACTATGAATTCAGGCAAAAGTGAGTCTAGAGAACCTGTCGTTATTTGTCGTTGCGCAGCTTTTTTTACCGTACAAAATATCTATGTAACGACACATAACGACATCGACAATTATCGGTAGACATGTATAGAATAGAGCCTCGGAGTATAATCGGCCTGATCCAAAGAGGGACCAGAACTTATAGGTCTAATCTTCTTTACCTTTACCGTATTTCGATACTTTTGGTACTGAAAATCTATAGTAGTGTATACATAACGTTCAAAAATCTTGAAAGATCGCTTTACGTAGTGGAATTCTGTAACTTGTTATACAGTCATTATGTGTTCATAACGATAATTGCGCAGCTTTCTTACTATATAAATTATAAAATATTCGTGCAACTGTCAATGAGAACATAACGATTGTATTACAAGTTACAGAATACAAGGACTAGGCGGATAACGTGTGTTTGCTCTAATCCGAGTATTAAGTACATCATCTGAATATTTTTAAAAAGTGTGGCTGGCTTTAAGGGGATCCTAAAGTGAAGCCCAAACTCCGATGTGATCGCTGGTTAACCAATAAAATGCGACACATCGACATATACTACTACATCAATAGTTCACTAACACATACGTAAAATTTTTTAACTAATCTTTCGTATTAAGTATCTAAACCTAATTCTAAGTACTCAATATTGATTGTTCATGTAATCTCTACATGGAGAAAATTTTATATTAAGTTTTAATACAATTTTAAATTACACTTTATTATGTCTTGTATTTTCGATGTTTCATCACAACATGATTCCGACGTAACTTTTACTATGTAATACTAATTTTTATCACATAAATAAAATAATTTTTGTTAAAAGCCAGTGCTTAAGCCATATTCTAACATGAAAACAGTTAATTTTTACTACGGTGCGCAAACAAAATTTGCTAGGTATATATTTTTTACTTATCTTTACAATACTAACTTTTATTCAACAAGTATTGATTTTGTAATAAAACATTTTTATTATGAAAAAGTGTAAAAATTACGTTGTATTATTTTTTTTTTTAAAATAGCTATAGCATTTAAACTTATAATTGTCATGATGTCCGCGCTTCTACATTATAGTAATTTTAAATATAAAATTTTTTCCGTGTAGTCCAAACCAAGATTGTTTTATACGTACAAAGTATAAAACTCGTATATAAAGCAAATACACTACGCAACAAAATTATCGCAACAAAATTTTTCATCGAAATTTTGCTATTTTTCAAATGCGCATAACTAGGTCAATTTTCATCGTATCGGCGAACTCGTCTACGTTATACTTCCGTAATCATCGAAATGGACGGCCAGACAGTGGAGAAATGTGAGTCAGAAAATATTGTGGAAGTGACGAGCCACGGGGTCCCTAATTTGACAAATGGTTTACATAATCGGCCCTTTTCAGAGCCAAAAAGAAGTGTAAAGTCCAACCAGCAACCTCCTCGCGGTACGTATCGGGTAATGCTTATGCTGTCAGTATTCGTTAAAAATGCCCGAATAACTTCAAAATGTCATTACTCGGTCAAAAAAAATCGTAGAGACTAGAATTTTTTTTCAAATTGTTTGTTGAAAAGTGCACTTTACAATGGTCTATGTGGTATTTTCGAAAAAAAATCGGGGCGATCCAGGTAGCGCGTCAAACAATTAAATTTTTTAAGAAAAAAAATGCTTGAGCATTATCAAAACATGGAGATGCGGCATCGACTTGCACCTAATTTCGCATCAAGTTTTTCTTAAAGTACAGATAATTACCTACAAAATGAAAAAAAAATCGTCTTGATACGATGAAAATTGACCGAGTTATAAGCATTTGAAAAATAGCAAAATTTCGATGAAAAATTTTGTTGCGATAATTTTGTTGCGTAGTATATTATTACGAGACGTTAAAATTAAGTCGATAACAAAACTGTAATTTTCTAACTTTTTTTCGTTTTTGGCATAAAATCGACTGGTTTGGATTACATTATCGTTTATACTTTAATTATGGAGAAGGATTTTTTAATCTGTAAAGGCAGTTGGAAAAATACTTGTTTGGAAAAATTGATAAAACAAATTCACTTTAGGATCCCCTTAAACGTGCATTGTATTCTCTTATTTAGAAGATTTCTTTATTCGTCTTGACGAATATTAAACGAATATATAATACGAATATATAATATATTTCTATATATGTTTACATATATAAAATATGTAAAATATATTAAAATTTTCAACATTTTTGAAAAAATTTTACATAGGCGACTAATGATCTCCTATTTACTAGTGACCGGTATGTTACTGAAGCTACATTGGACGCGCATGCGTCAGAAATCCGGCCCGTCTAACAAC